ATGCTAAACGTGTAAATGTTCTGAAGGGAGTTGGGCGACGTTGCGGTTTTGGGGCCAGGGAGAGACGTGAAAATAGAGGCGATGGATCGGGCGTCCTGGGGCAGCACCGTCGTTGCAGCTGGACTCCGCGCGTCATCGAAGACGCCTACGGCGAATCACCGCCGCCCCCTGCCTTTGTGGAAACGCCTATGTGGCCGAACGTTGAGGCCAGACCTGCCACGCCATCGGACCATGTGTTCCCCGAGTCGGTTTAGAAAGCCTTCGGGGAACACGTGGGCATCTTGAAGGTCATTTTGGCCGTTTTGGAGGCCTCTTGGGCGATCTTTCGGCGATCTTTGGGGGCTCTTAAACCGTCTCGGGCCGTCGGAAGGCCGAAAAGAAGGAAATGCAACAATCCGTCAAAAACCTCAGGACCATCTATGTTTTGGGCCTCTTCTGGCCTTCCTGGAGGCCCTCTTGGGGGCCTCTTGGGCCCTTTTGGGCCAGCTTCCAGCCAACTTCGGCCATCTCGGTGGGTTCCTGGCACGTCTGACGCCGTCGGGAGCCGTCCTGGGGGCCTTTTCCGGGCCAGCGGGGGGCCTTTTTGGGGCGTTTCGGGGCCGTTTTGGAGGCCATCTTGGGCGTCTTGGAGGCCATCTTGGGCGTGTTGGAAGCCTCTTGGGCCGTTTTGGGGCCAGCTTGGAAGCCACTTGGGCCGTCATGGGGCCTTCTTGGGGGCCTCTTGGGCGATCTTGGGGGCCTCTTGGGCTGTCTTGGGCCGTCGGAGTGCCGAGAAGAAACACATTCCAACATCCTTCAAAAACCCAAGGCAAATCAATGATTTTGGTCTATTCGGGCCCTCTTGGAGGGCCGTCTGGGAGGCCTCTTGGGCCGTCTGGGAGGCCTCTGGGGGGCCTCTTGGGCCGTCGTGGGCCGTCTTGGAGTCTCTTGGGTACATCTTGGGCCGTCTTGAAGGCATACTAAAGCCATCTTAGCCGTCTTGGAGGCCAACCTGGCCGTCTTGGAGGCATCTTGGAGGCCATCTTGGAGCCGTTTTGGGCAGGAAATTTGGGAATTGAGCGCCTTCTGGGTTGCCGGCGGGACGGGCCGAAGCCCCAGGGGGAGTTCTTTTGGAAAAAGAGCCAAAACCAAAACCGAGAGGATTCAGCACGCTAGGCACCCCTGTGATGAATCAAGAGGGGGCGGCGGATCTAGCTTTCCTCGGCCCACCCCGCCACCGTGCTTGGGTTGTGGGTAAGAGGCGGCATCTTGTGGGGACGCTTCTCGTGGGCTCCTTGGAGGCAGTTTGGAAGGCTGTTAACGGCCGTTTTGGTGTCTCTTTTGATTCTCTTTGGGGCCTCCTGGGTTTTCGGGTGCCTGTTGGGGGCCGTTTGGGACATATTGGGGGGCATCCTTGGGGTTCCTGGGAGCCTCTGCGGGTGGAAAGTTGGAATAAAGGGTTCGAGGTCCCCCTTTTGGGCCCCTCTTCGAACCGTTTTGAGGCACTCTTCTGCCGTCTTGGGGGCGTTTTGGGCCGTCACGGAACCTTTTTGGGTTGTCTTGGAGGCCCCTTGGGAGCCTCTTGGGCCGTCGTGGGGCGTTCTTGGGGGCCTCTTGAACTGTCGTCAGCGTATTGAAGGCGAAAAAGTCGCATATGTTAAACATGTACGTTTTCCCCTATGGTAATTTACGGTTTGGGCGTCGTGGGGGCTTCCTTAGAGGCCTCCTGGAGGCGTCTTGGGGCCGTTCTGGGCCCATCTTAGGCGTGTTGGAGCGATCATTCGGAGACTTTGTGCTCTCTTGGACCGTCTTGGGGGTGTCTCGGGGGCCTCGGCGGGCTGTCTTGGAGCTACAGAACGAGCCTAGGGAGCCCGCCCCCCCGTGGTGTGTTCGGGGGTGGTTCGTCCTGGACGAGGGGGGGAGTCAAATTGCCGGTTTGGGGTCCCGGGGGGGTTATGGGGGGGAACAATCTCACACGCCTAGAGACCCACAAGGGGTCGGCTGATTTGCGCCCCCTCCTTTTGGACGCCCCTCTCTTGGACGCCCCCGAAATGGCAATCCATTGGTCAGAGGGGGCGTGGATTCGCGACGGGTCCCGTTTCCATTTGAAGGCACGGATTTCCGCCGCCGACCGAGGCGGCACCGGCCGCAGGCACCTCCTCCCATCCATGGATGTGGCGACCGTGCGCCACATCCATGGATCGCTAATCCATGTCTGCGCGCCCCCGATCCCAGCGGGCCTGGCACGCGCGGCGCCCTCCAGGCCAGGAAACCCTCCCAGACACGGTCGCGTCGTAACCAAAAAATCGCGGCGGGAGATGTTCGGCCAGTCTTGGCCTCTTCGGGCCACTTCACCTGATCGCGTCGATGACAAAATCGCGACGGGAGGTTTTTGGCAGTTCTCGGCCCCCTGGGGCCCTCTCCAGGCCCCAGGGCCGCTAAAAAACTACTCAGACAACCCGTCCCTGGGGAAGGGGTCGGGACTTCCGCGGACCGCGTGCTGAAACCACCTGGACGTCGCATATCTGGGTTCGGAGACGCCTCCCCCTCTCCGCCTCCTCCCCCCCCTTGAACAGCCTACGGCGGGAGAGGTTTGATTGTTTTCAGCCTCGGGGGGCGATGGCTAGGCCTCGGGGCCTTCAAAAAACGATTCAGGATGAAAAGCCGGTCCTGGGGAATGGGTCGAGGTCTTTGAGATGTTTTAAATCTATACATTCGGTGAGTATCTATGCATGATACTAGTAGCTATAATCGTTTTATGCCAGAACCCTAGTACTAGTGTGAATCGCAATACTACTCATACGAATACTAGTGTTAAACATTGTAGTGGCAGTATTACGACTACTGCTACTATTGCTACTATTGCTACTACGACTACTACTCTTACTACTACTACTACTACTACTACTACTACTACTACTACTACTACTACTACTACTACTACTACTACTACTACTACTACTACTACTACTACTACTACTACTACTACTACTACTACTACTACTACTACTACTACTACTACTACTACTACTACTACTACTACTACTACTACTACTACTACTACTACTACTACTACTACTACTACTACTACTACTACTACTACTACTACTACTACTACTACTACTACTACTACTACTACTACTACTACTACTACTACTACTACTACTGCTAATTACTACTACTACTACTACTACTACTACTACTACTACTACTACTACTACTACTACCACTACCACTACTACTACGACGACTACTACTACTACTACGACTAATTACGCTACCCAGGAACCCCACATACTTAACTTGAATGTTGTATGTTGCTTAAGTTTATAATATATGCGCAATTCTGCGTTCTCAGCCCTCGTCGCGAATGTTCCCCTATGTGTCATCCAACGCCATATTGCTTGAACCTCTTCCCTCTTCCTAGCCGTCTATCCTCCGTCGAGGACAGATTCGAGCCAGCCAGCGGCCGCGGTGAGGGACCACCCCCTGCGCACCCTCGATGGTGTCGAGAAAGTGCCACGCCTGCTATGCCCTGGACGACCGTCGTGCGTAGCGGCCGCGGTGAGGGACCACCCCCTGCGCAGCCTCTATGGTGTCGAGAAAATGCCGCGCCTGCTATGCCCTGGACGACCGTCGTGCATAGCAGCCGCGGTGAGGGACCACCCCCTGCGCACCCTCTATGACGTCGAGAAAGTGCCACGCCTGCTATTCCCTGGACGACCGTCGTGCATAGCGGCCGCGCTGAGGGACCACCCTCTGCGCACCTCCTGTGGTGCCGAGAAAGTGCCACTCCTGACACGATCTGCGAGCGTGTCACGGATAGAGGCCGCGTTGAGGGACCACCCTCTGCGCACCCCTTGTGGTGTCGAGAAAGTGCCACTCCTGCCAAGATCTGCGAGCGTGTCACGGATAAAGGCTGCGCTGAGGGACCACCCTCTGCGCACCCCCTGTGGTGTCGAGCAAGTGCCACTCCTGCCACGATCTGCGAGCATGTCACGGATAGAGGCCGCGCTGAGGGACCACCACCTTCTGCGCACCCCCTGTGGTGTCGAGAAAGTGCCACTCTTGCCACGATCTGCGAGCGTGTCACGGATAGAGGCCGCGCAGAGGGACACCACCTTCTGCGCACCCCCTGTGGCGTCGAGAAAGTGCCACGCCTGCCACGCCCTGCGAGCGCGTCACGGATAGAGGCCGCGCTGAGAGACCACCCTCTGCGCACCCCCATGTGGTGTCGAGAAAGTGCCACTCCTGACACGATCTGCGAGCGTGTCACGGATAGAGGCCGCACTGAGGGACCACCCTCTGCGCACCCCCATGTGGTGTCGAGAATGTGCCGCGCCTGCCACGCCTTGCGAGCGTGTCACGGATAGAGGCCCCGCTGAGGGACCACCCTCTGCGCCCCCCCAGTGGTGTCGAGAAAGTGCCGCGCCTGCCACGCTCTGCGAGCGTGTCACGGATAGAGGCCCCGCTGAGGGACCACCCTTTGCGCCCCCCCAGCGGTGTCGAGAAAGTGCCGCGCCTGCCACGCCCTGCGAGCGTGTCACGGATAGAGGCCCCGCTGAGGGACCACCCTCTGCGCACCCCCTATGGTGTCGAGGAAGTGCCACGCCTGCTCGCTTGCCGCATGGCTTGCCGTGTGTATGTGTATGATGCGTGTGCGGCCATATCGGGACATATCTCACGGGTTACCCAGTATGTCGTGCAGACGTCTTGGGTGTATGATGCAGTGAACATGCGTCTTGTATGTGCGAATGTGTGCATGCGTGCGGCTGTGTGCGAGTGTGTGGGTGAGGAGGCGGGAGGTGTGTGAGACGCGGGTGCGGCGCGGCAGGGAAGAAAACCAGAACCCCACGACGAAGCATGTGGGGAATAATACAAATAATAATGATTTCAATAATGATAGCAGTAATAACAATAATACGAGTGATACGAATAGTAATGCTGATAGTACTAGTAACGTCGGGAGTCTGGGGATGTTCGTCCTCCGTTCCTCCTTCCCTTTTTTCGGCTCTCGGGAGGAGGGGCCATCGCCTTCGGCCGAGCCCGAGTGGGTGTCCCTGCAGCAGTGACACGGGGGCGGTGTTGGCGCCTGGCCCCCCGGCGCATGCCCGAGCCGCAGCCTCCCGCATGACGGGGGCGAGGAGGAGTGGAGGAGGAGGGGACGACGACGACGACGACGACGAGGACGACGAAAGTCGGATGAGGAACGGAACCAGGCGGACGAAGGATGAGCACGAGGAATCGGCTACCGTCGGACTGAGGTATAATTTCGAGGTCGGTTCGGGGAAAAATCATGACGAGAGGTTTGTGCCCGTTCGCGGCCTCTGGAGGCCCTCGCTGGGCCCCAGGACCGTCACAGAACGACTCAGACTAAAAAACTGGCCCTGGGGAACGGGTCGGGACTTCCGGGGACCCCGTATTACAAAACTCGCGCCATCGGATCTTTGGGTACGGTCAGACCGAGGTATAAGAGCGATGCCGGTTCGGGGAGGGTGCCCTCATGTTTTTCGCACTCGTTGGACGTTCTTGTGCATCCTGGGGGGGTACCCTCGAATGCTCTTTATGTTGGCCGGCGGAGGGCCTCCTGTTCTTGGAGGATGTTATTTAGTTCTAGGTTTGTGGAGGACGATCAATTGAGAGGAAGCAGGTTGCCAAATAACTTCCAGATGTCTAGAGCATGTGTTAAAACGTGTTTAAACATGTAACAACAGTTTTGAGACATGTTCAGGACAATCACATTTAAATTCGATGATCGGACTGTTAGGGTGTCCATTGTCGTGACATCCACAATGCTAGGTCCGACCGTACGCGTAAAATTGGCACTTCGCCAGAATGACCTTTCGGCGGCGATCGAGGGGGAAATGAGAAGGAGAAGGCCTTTTCACAAGGATCGGACGTCAACCGGCCTTCTGAGAAGTGTTCGAAGCCTTCCCCGAACACACAAACACAACTCTCACAAGGCGCGACGGCTTCAGAGAAGTCCCGCCGCCTTATGAAAGGGCTCCTCCTTCGCTTGCCCCCCCTCGCTCGCCGCCAAACCTTCGGAGGAGGAGGAGGAGGAGAAGGCGGATGAAGGAGGAGGAAGGAGGAGGAAGGAGGAGGGAGGAGGGAGGAGGAGGGAGGA